AATGCCCTAAATGCTTTTTCTAGGGGTTGTCACACAGCATTTATACTTGGGAATGGCAGCTGCCTCTCTCCTGAGATTATCACCATAGTGATCAGTGCCAGATAGTTAATAAGAAGTTCAATTCCACAAATCCCTGCTCTGAGAAAGTCATTATGTTCAAAAGAAAACTGAGCTGTGCAAGAATATGGCAGACATTTTTGGTGAGTTCATAGTAGTAAGAAAAAACATTTTCTACACAATTCCATTGTAGAGAATGTTTCATGCAATGTTAAACACTGAAATGTACACAAACCGTGCAGGGTTTCTATCTTCAGTCTTACACTGTTACTAACAGCTGGAGAAAAAATATGTCATAGCAGAAGTAAAATACTTTATCATCAGACCATTAAGATAATTTGGAAAGGTGTTTCAGAACCATTAGAATGATCATGAAAACCTGCCAGCAGGTGTAAGAATGTCACCCTTCCCAGACATATTAATCACCAACCAGCAACCTTGTTGGGACTTTCTCTTGGTTGGGATTGTTGTCTTCCATAGCAGCTCTGGCGTGACATACAGTTCCAAATACTACGGTTTACACATAAATAACGTACGTTATTGCAAGAAGCATGATTAATTATGCCACAGTAATGTGCTTGTCACAGCAATGATACAATTGCCCTAACCTGGCATATTGAAAATGCACATCCCATCCTGCCACAGCAACATGTACATTAATGATATCACACCTCTATCTGAAATAATTACGTGAAAAACATTTTAAAAATCATCACATAGAGTTTCAAGTTGAACAACTCATATTGTTGTATGGAACAAACGAGCTGGCATCACCAGCAGGTATAAATAAATTACTTTCCAAAGATGTCCTCCCTCACATTCTGTTTGCAGATAACCTGTCACCCACACTGCTGATTCTGTTCCCACTCCCTCTTCCTGCATTTGTGAGCATTACAATACTGCTTCACAGCTTCCATGTCATAGCATCTTCTACAGCAGGATCTCAACATATTTTACAGTTGTTAGACAATTTAGCTTTGCAAAACTGATTTCTTGCAAAGTGGAGAATCCTTAACAGCCTTCATTTTGCAGAGGTGGAAACTGAGGAGCAAACAGGTTAACCAGAGGCTTTCTACTGAAAAGCTGAGCATCCATGCCTTTGAAATCAAGAATAATCAAAGCTTAGCAAATTAGACTAATTTCTTACAGTATAATACGATACTTGCAAAGGAACCAAGAAGAGAACCCATCAGTTCGCAGAACTGTTTATCCTTTTTTGGTACAATATTAATTTCCCATGTTACTCTAAAATAAATTTGTTTTAAAAGTAATGAGTTATGCAGTTTGTAGTGAAGGATATTCAGGGTGGAACATGAAATATGTGAATAAGAATGCTTCAATGTTGTGGAGTTAGGCTTATTTAGAAACAAATAAAGAAAATACTACACAGGTAATAATTTCTATTTGGCTATTCATGCTGCCGAGATACCACGAGGTTAGGCAACTAGAGTGTTCACAGCCTCTGCTCTGAGAGGCTGTCTCAAAGGATTTTTTTCCCCTTCCATTGCTGAAGCAGCAATTCACATAGAAGACTCCAGAGACAATCAAGAAAGCAAACACCTGTTTCAGGGGATAGACTTGCTGTGATCACTTTACACTTTTATCCAAGCAAACTGCATTTCTGTAGGTTTTGTAAAATGACAGTGACTCACAGGGCCATGACCAGAGAGCCTTCTGCAACTTGAGGCCTTCCAGCAACATGCTGACACAGCACTTTGGAAGCATACACAGCTTCTTCTGAACAGGTTCCAGTCTCCATCAGGGGTCACTCTCCAGCCTTGAGTCCAGGTGGGATGTCACATCTCCTGTTCCCTCCGCAGAATGTCTCACTCGGCAGAATGAGGAGGCTGCACCTCAGCTGCTCATGAAGAAGGGTTCCTGGCCCAGGCTGGCCTTTGGGTCACACCAGGGAATTGTCAGGGAGATTGCTCATAGTCATGGGCCAAAACTGTACCCAGGAGTGTGCTACTGGTGTTACAGTACGGATGGTTACACATCAGCTGCTCTGCTCTGGGCCTGCCCTGGCAACATCGCAGTTCTAGGAGAGATGTAGCCGTAGTTATGGTTTTGAAGGAGTCGAACCTGGGCGAAATCATTTTGGCTGTGAGCAGGACTAATTATTCCAGTGCTAGAGCTGGATCCCATGCCTTTCTGTCAGTTCATAACAAGCTCAACTGTGCTTGCAAAATAACATGCAAATATATCATAACCCAGAGCATTACATAATCAGATCCTCATGCTATAGGAAACAACATCCCAGAAGCTCCTGGGAGTTTGTGCAGGAGTGTAACAAAAGTGCAATTCTGTTTTGTAAAACACAGAATTTTACATAACCTACAGCTAGGCATCTGGGCAAACTAAACCAAGAAACTGCTGCTGATCAAAATCTCTCCGATGGGCATAGGAGTGTTCCTACAGATTAAGAGTGCCTGTGAACCATATCCCAAATTATTAGTAACTCACACCACCTTATCATGGACAAGTCTGTGTGATTGCAATGTTTGATTACATGCTCTATGCAAATGGTTTTGTTTTAGAAGACAATGATAATATCTTGCCTGTCTTCTCCTTTGCATTGTTTCACAGGTTTATCCGTACTCCCTACCACGGTCCCAAATATGTTCTCCCACTGTGAGATACTTCATTCCACTGCAATTTGTAGCTCAAAATGCTCCCTTCTGCCTGGCACATTGCATCCTGGAGGTCCAGGTCTTCCAAGACTGTAAGCCTGACAGAAAAGAACTACCATGATATCCAGGAATACGTCATCCCCTGGCCAGAGCAGTAGATACGGCAGCACTGAAGAAAGGGCAAGAGAAAGCTGGGTCTCAAGTGTGACCATAAGGTTAAGTCATCTGCCTGAGCCCTTCTCTGAGAATCATTCAGCTCGATTGCCTTTCCATCTCCCCTCCTTTGTCTTTCTGACATTTAATTGAAAATACTAAAAACATACACTGTTATACTGGGTGTCAGTGCCAAGGCTTTGGCAGTGGTGGGGCTGCAGGGGTAGCCTTGGTGAAGTTGGTCAGGGCTGCCCAGTGCCAGAGACAGCTGGTTCTTGCCGGCTCTACAACGGACCCAGAATACACCCAGCTGACAACACTACACAGGCTCTGTATTCACAGGTGTGCACTGTCCTTGGGCTACTGCCAAGGAGTGGAAAAAAGTCAAATGGTGAAGTCTGAAGTGAAACTCGGGATTCACCAGAGACAAAAGAGGCAACACATTTCTGTATTTCTCATTCTGAAAGACATGGAAGGTCTCCTCAGCTGAGCTGAACCGAGTCAAAAAGCCAAAAGCCAAAGACTGCTCTGGCTTGGCATGTTAGCATTGCAGCATGGAATCCACATAAGCCATCCATCTTTCCCCTTTCTATCCCTACCTGCAGCAGATGAGGTCTCTTTTTTCCCTTTCTGTCCTGCTGCCAAGAGGGAACTGCAGCACAGGAAAGACTTGCAGAAATAAGACAGGTGGCATCTACTTCCTACTCACACTCTTTTCCATCCTCTAGAAGAAACAGACCCCAGCGCTTACCATGTCTTTCCTCCCTGGCGAGCTCCTCGTGATGTGCCATAGACCATGCTGAACATGCTCTGCTTGTACCACCAGGTGGAAGCTGGTGCAGTCCTAGACTGCGTGCTACACCAGTATCATGGGAAACACGTTACATATAAAGCAGTTCATTAACTGTACCATAAACCCCACCAGATCACATTCCTACAACTATGCCATTAAAGAATTATTTCTGACCACTTGCGGAGACATCTTATGAGGCCAGGCAGATGTTTTCAAAACCTGAAAAGAACATTTCATGAAGATATGAAGAGAATTTTCCAGTGACGCTAGTCAGGAAACAGTATAAGCACCAACACTGAGAATAAGCACTGAAAATTTTAGAAGACTGAATCTTTGCATTTCAAAGTGTAACAGCTGAAGTCTAACTACTAAACCAAAATACACCAGTGTTGTAAAAACAAGTCCCTGCCACCCCAGTGTACTAGTTTTGCAATAATTTGTTAGGAAATTATGAACATCTGACTAATGTTTTTATCTCTGAAAACTGATACAAACCAGGAACCCCATACTCCTATTTAACATAGCTCAATTACTTCAGATCAAACTTGTTCAGCTCATAAGCAAAACTATGATTTCTGTAACCAACATCTTTGCACATACTCAACGTAGGCTGTACAAGGCTACCTCTGTGTAGTTAGTGCCACAATCCCCAACATAAGATTCAAAAGCTGAAATCTAATTAGCAATTCTGAACAAACTAGATTGAAATCCTGCCCACTCTGACCATTTGAAATAAAAAACCCCCTCATCTTTGTAATTGCAAAAGTACCTAGGAGATAGTCATAGAATCACAGAATGGTTTGGGTTGGAAAGGACCTTAGAGATCATCTAGTTCCAACCCCCTGCCATGGGCAGGGACACCTCCCACTAGACCAGGTTGCTCAAAGCCTCATCCAGCCTGGCCTTGAACACTCCCAGGGAGGAAGAGACTGCAAAATGGCCCCACGTCAGCTAAGCATAGACTAAAATTAAGATGCTTTCTTCAGTATTAAGTGCTTTGCTGAATTGGGGCTTTAAAGACGATCAAGGTCATATCCAACAGTTTCAGAAAATTCATAGGCCTTAAGTAAGTTCTGGCTTTGGATGAGGGATATGGTACTTTCAACCTTTTAACGTTGCTTTGAGGTATTTTGCACTTAAAGGTGAAATTTGAGAGACTGCTCTGTTTCCTGTCATCATCGAACGTATCTCTGAAAGCAAAAGCTTTATGCACTTAATATAGTTTGCAATGACTCTGAATACCTGTGTAGTTTTTATGCATAAGTAAAATAACCTCAGCATTATTTAAAAAAAAAATCAATTATAAAAGACACTGCAACTTCAAATCCACATTTTTAATGCAAGATGCTATATATCTAAAATATTTCACAAATATTTTATCAAAATCTACAACAAAAATCATCATGGATTAATGTTTTTCTGCTAAAAGTTTTAAAAGCAGAAAAAGTTATGAACGGATCATATGCTATTCTGGAAGCAAATCCTCTCCTAGTTCTTCATCAGCAAAGTCATCTTCCTCAGTTCTTTTTCTTGCTGCAGTTTTTGGTCTTTCTGCTTGTGGGCCAAGTGGATCTATGTAGGAGGCATCTAGGGTTTAAATAAATACATTTGAAACAGTTACCTGCAAGTAATTTTAGTTTTGTTTCAAACATATATAATCAAACAGAAGAGTGGGTTTTAGCATTACACATCTGTAAGGTGTCTTTGAAATGCAGACCAGAAGAAGCATGTGAACGCTGAAGGAGAAAAAGATATCACACTCGGGAAGCGAGGCATAGCACAAGAGCAAAGTACCTGAGTACTAATGATAGAAAGCTTTTTCTCCCTTCTTTTTTTAAAATAAATTTCTCTTTATTTTATTACAGTCATTAAGTGAGAAAAAGGATTCGGCAAAGTGCATGGAACCGGAAGACTGATGAGCTGGTTAAAGGAAAGGCATTTCAGGAAGTACCACATTCCACTTGGATTTGTGATTTTAAACCCCCTTGAAAATTCAGTCTTAGCAAAGAACTTATGACTGCAGAATCACCAGAACTGACTGAAGGATGTAGCAGACAGATATCAGAAGTAATAAATATTTACATGGACCACATTTCTTAATATTTACAATTACTTTACAGTGAGCTCTGAACAATGAAGCTAAAGCCATTCTTCACATTTATTTAATGGGAAAAATGTTTTCCTAATTATCTAATAATACATGCTCTCCCAATAACTTGTTTTTCCACATCTCATTTCTCTTTGAGGGCCAGGAAAATAAGAAGGTATAAAATTCCCACTTGCCTATTTCTTTACTGCTGTTGCTTTCATAGGGTTCACTTGCTCCAGGCAAAGCTTTTATTTTGGCACTCAGTCTTTCCCCTTTGGTACCCCCACTATCTGTGAGGGAAAAAAAAAGTTGAAGACAAATAACATGCTGCTATGTTCTGTGAAATCACGATAAAAGAACAACAGAAATTCAGCTACTATCTGTCAAACAAGATTTGGATGAAACCATCTTTTCATGATGGATACAGTACTCACTTGTAAGAGTGGTCATTAAAACACAATGGACACTGTGTCCACACGTGTGTGTTTTATTTATTTTTGTTTAATATATGCCGCCTTATTTACTTTGGAGTAAACACATTAAAATATTTCTGCTTCAAATGCTGACATTTCAGTTGCTTATAAATTACAGACACATTTTACAGTTAAAATAAGCATGATAAATATAAACACTGTCACAATGTATATGGACATTTCATATGTCTGTGTGCTTACCAACATATTAGTATGATCCACCTGTTCAATACTGTCAAGGTTAAATGCAACACTAACTTTGCTTTTAATTAGAGGAGTATATTTGGTATGTGCTGTCTGCATGGCAGGCAGGCACAGTTCATGTATACAGGCCATCCTGGCCTTACATCTTGCTGTAAACACTGTGCTGGCAGCTCAGTTTGCAGCGGGGCCCCAAGGAATGTGTCGGCTCCAAGGGCTGCCTCGTGCCCAGACAACATCAGATTAACATTCTCTTGCCACAGCAGTATTCCAGACACTTAAAATACTCTGTTCACCTCTGAATCTCTTTTACACATTCATGGCAAGCTTTCAATCTCATCCGCTACAACTGATTTTTATGCATTTTTTTTCTCCTAGGAGAAAATGTTTCATGTTTGGCTTGGTGTATTTATAAGGCAGGACATGCCATGCCGCCAAATACAAACACGCTCACAACACAAAACAATGCTGCTGTTAAAAGTCCTCCATCAGTAAGGAGGAAAAATCAATTTAATTCAACACACATTAATTACAAAGTCTGGACTTGGCAACACATTTCCATTGTCTTATTTACTATGTGTTCTTTTTATAAATATTGTTACTATTTAACAAAAAATCTTTCACAAAGATGATAAACCTTTACTGCTCAATAAATGCTCCTGCAGACTTCAGTTTACTCGGCCCTAAATTAGAAGACAATGTTTCTGCTCCAAGAAAGAGCACAGTCATGTCAAACATTTAACATGTTTATAAAACACAGATTAGGGCACAGATTACTGTTGAAACTTCAAAGGAAGGAAAATTATTTTATTGTACATCATCGACCTCCCTTGTATTAATACACACTGACAAGTTTCATGGAAGAAGTGAATCCTTAATGAAGGATTTGAAGAAACTGAAAGAAATCAATGGGCTTGATTGGGAGTGCTCAACCAAAGGGCTGTGAAATTACCAAATGGTTGTTTCTTGATTTCAGTGGGCACTGGACAGGCCTGCTCAACAAGGAGGTGAGTGCTGAGCTTCAAAGATGGTGTGGTTGAAAACATGTTGAGGACAGTTTAGAGGAGAATACAAAAGGTTTAACAGGGAGAGAAAGAGTAGGAGTAGGCACAGAGTCTTTTGCAATCCAAAACAAATCGTTTACAAAATAATGAAAACAGTTGGAAGAAGCAGAAAGGAAATGCAAAGACAGGAACAATACAGCAGAAACTCTACTAGGGGAAGACTGAAGGTGTCAAAGAAACTCTGTAGGTTTAACTGGTTGGTTCCAGAAAGGAAGAACTGGGTGTAATGAAAACAAAAGAGGAAGATATCAAATGTTTTCAACTGTGAAGGAGGAAAACACAACTTTTAGTGATACTACCAGAGGAAGGTGAAATATTTTATATTAAAGAAGAAAAAAAGGATGGTAGACAAACCAAAATGTCTGGGGTAAATATAATACCCGCAAATTAACTGTACAGCTTACTGTCCTAAAACAAACAATTGAAAACATAAGGTTTCCTGGACATTCTAGGACCCTTAAGTTTTATTAGGGCTACATCCAAGAAGGGAATGAAGCACTAAGTCCAAAACTTGAAGCCAATTTCAACACCCCCCCCCCCCCCCTTTTCTCCCCCCCCCCCCGGTGTCTCCACC